GGTGCGCTTACCTTTTTTTCCCGTTAAAACAGTTTGACTATTACATAATTGAAATGCACTTACCTCGTTTTTTTGTTAGAACAGTTTGTCAGTTACATAATTAATCCGTAACTACCCCTTTATTTGTTTACAATATTTTGTCTATTACAAAGTAAAGCTGCACTTACCTTGTTGTTTTTACTCCGTTGTTAGTCTGTTATATAATTAAATCTGCACTCCTCCCATTGTTTGTTTAGAATAGTTTGTTACATAATTAACCTGCACTTACCTCGTTGTTTGATAGAACAATTTGTCTTTTACATAATTAAGATACACTTACCTCGTTTTTTGTTAGAACAGTTTGTCAGTGATATAATTAAGCTGTACCTACCCCTTTATTTGTTTACAATATTTTGTCTATTACAAAGTAAAGCTGCACTTACCTTGTTGTTTTTACTCCGTTGTTAGTCTGTTACATATTTAAAGCTGCACTCCTCCCATTGTTTGTTTAGAACTAATCGGGCATGCTGTAAAACGTGGGCTTACGTAGGAGCACCACCAATATCATATATTGGAGAGCCACAAATTTGACTAAAAATAGATGGCTTACATTAAATAATTTTTAAATTCACTAAATATACATGAACTATAAATTTATTTCAATTTTTATTATTTAACTTAGAACAACGCTGTTTAGCTAAAATGCAAGATTTTTGCTTCTATAATTAATCCAACGTACATGTAAACCTGAAAGCTTGAAGTACAGCGTCATTTTTTAATAATATATGTGTGTATTGCACAGTTTAATAACTCAGCTTCTGAAAAGTCCCAGAAGACCATAAAACGTTAGAAAATATACAAAACATTCAGTATATTTATCACTTAATTATCATAATGCCGTTTTGTTAAAAAATAAATAAATATTGGAATGGTTCATCAGTCTGGTAGCCACATTTGAATGAACTGAATAGCTTTTCATGAATGCGCGCAAAACAAGGAAAACCAGTAAAGGAACTCCGTATGAATAACCCAAAAAACTCTTACCAAGAAAGAAGTAGACTAACATCTTGAATTAAGCGATAATACATTTTTGTGGCTGATTCATATAGAAATAGTTCCTGACGTATCTATTTACATTTTGTACACTCAAAAATAAATGAAACAAAAAATAATCGATTTATGGTCTTAATTTTTGTTTTATATTATGTTAACATATTGCGTGTTTTTCCACTTCAGCTTGTTTAATAAATGACTAGTCAACATTAATATTCAACTTAGCACAGGGATGAAATTCTCAAAAAAAAGTAGACGTACTCAGCTGAGTGAACTGGACCCGTTTTTGAAAACAGAAAAATCTACATGTAAACATAAACAACGACAAAGCAGCTCAAATAAGTCCCGTTACTAGTACCGCCTTAAAAAAAAAATCCGGTACTCCATCCCGATGAGTACCGGCAGAATTTTACCCCTGATTTAGCATGAACTGAATATATTTGAAAACAAAACAGTTACAATATTTGTCTTTCATTAAATTTACTCAGCACCTATGCCATATGGAATATATTTCCTGAAAACGAGTTAGGGATCAGAGCGTAAAACATAGGTCGTTTACTTATGAATTTTTATTTAACAATGATTTGAAATATAACTTTCATAATACAAATATTAAACCAAAGATTAGGCTAGATCACAGGCTTTTACACTACAGTCCTGGTCTTAAAAATATCAGAAAGTGAATACACTAGACGTATATAGAGCTATCTGAGCTCTGTCCACCGCAGGGAATCGAACCCCAAATTTATAGAGTTGTAAGTCTGTAAACTTACACCTGACCCACCGGGAACAGATGGTGTTGTCTAATGTTTTGTACGACACCTTAAACTTGGGTAGATGATTTCATTCTGAAATGAGAATATTAATAGTTTTAAATTATGCGACAGCTAAAGTTCTATCTCGATGATCTTAGTTCACTCACTCAAAGTAATATCTAATTATTTTTCTGTCAGAATCATGGTCGAGAAATCATGGCTATGTTTTACTTGCTTGTTGTATCACATAGCCTAGAAAACATAACTATTTTTTCTTGACTTGTTTTTTTCATAGCCCAGAAAACTTGATTAGTTGGACCATAGTCTTGAAAGTGCAGCCAAGTTTTATTTTAAATGTTGGGTTATTGTAAAATCGAGAATGTCAATAATTTATACATTTGAAGATTTCGGTTCGTGTGCATAATACTGGGTTAACATTTTGTGACATAACTGCTTGATATTGTTATGACAGCGGGGGTCACGTGACGCTAGTAACACGTCATATTCTCGAAGGTTCGTAAAGCCTCGAGTGTTTACTAGATATGCGGTATTCTTGTATATACAAGACCGGTAAGAAGTGACGGCAAGAATGTAGTTGAATTGCAGACAAAGATAGAGACGGACAGTTGGGTCGAGCGCCTGAATCGTTTGTTGTGAATTATAGCATTGTTTAAGTTATAGCGTGACCGTGGAAATTAAGTGAATTTCAAAGTTGTATTCAGAAAGAATAAACTAGTTTTATTTAAGAAAGGACTTGTATCGCTAAAGTTTCTTCGGAAAGAATTTTTACGGAAAATTAACTAACGACCAGAGACGTAACAATATGTTTGATTTCGGTATGTCTGCGGCTTACAACGCTAGAAACCGGCTTTCGATACTCGTGGTGGTCGGAGCACAGATAACACTTTGTGTAGCTTTGTACATAATTTAAAAAAAAACAATGTTTGATTTTTAGAAATTCGAAAAATTTGAGCCACCTTGGAAAAATCCTGTTTTAAAAATCTTATGATAAGGCAACTCAGTGATAACGCTATTTACCTGGTTCATTTCTGTTAGTTTTAGCTGTTAGTTGTTTTTAGTTCAATCTTTTCGTCTAGCAAGTAACTATATATATAGTTAGACTATCCTTGTACAGTTATCTAAAGTTGTTTCTGTATCTTACATATGGTTTGGTATCTTTCTACAAACTTAAACCTTATTTCACGATTTACATTATATTGTAATGCTCAGTCATATAATGTACATTCAATAATTTCATTGTGCTCGCTATTGCTGATGGCCATTACTTTGCAAACAAAGCGCGTGAACTGTAGGAATTCAACCTTTTAGTTAACCTGTAATAAAAAACATTTTATAGCAATTAAAACACAAAAAATGGCCGTAGTATATAATATAACTCAATTTCAAGTATAACAGTTATTTATTTTCGATTTACTTGTACTGAAAATGTACATTTTAAACTTTTGGGTGATCATAATCAGACTATAATGTCATCATCAGAAGTAACATTATTTTCACAAACGAGGAAATAGCACTCGATAATAATTTCCCTACAATTAGCACCTGAAAAGTATCTTGAGAAAATAGCTTTATAGGTGGTTTCATTTTACCAATGTAAACTTTAAACAAAGTTGATAAAAGTTCACAGTTAGCCAAACTTCGAAACAACAATTTTTTTAATGATTCTATATATATGTTACAGATTTCTTTTCTTTTTCACCAAAGATAAAATTGAAAATATCATTTGTGATATAGAGGCCTAATACACTCCTTGATTAGTGTAGCCTGTGCTGTGGACTCCAGATTAGCCTATCAAGGTTCATCGGCACGAGTTGGGTTACGAAACCAAAGTAATACAGTTAGGCCTCTTGTAATTGTTATGCGTATATAATATTTATGGGGGTTTAAGTCCTTTGTAATTCAAGCTGCACGAGAAACTGCAGTACACAGCACGGTCAATCAGATGATGCATTAGGTCTCTACGTCACAGATAATATTTTCAATTTTATCTTTGGTGAAAGAGAAAATAAATCTGTAACACATATAGAGTCAGTAAACAGTTGGTCGACTGTATAATATCGAATAATATATTAGGTACAATTTTATAACAGTAGTCACACACTTAAATGATTTTAGGTTGCTTATATGGTTAACTAACTGATTTTAGTTGCTTATATGGTTAATTAAAAATGACTCAAAACCCCAACAATGCCTTTTCTTTTGCTCGCGGACCAAATTTCAACTATAATAAACTGTCCAAAACTAATACCAACTGAGGAAGAATAAATAGCTGCTGAATGGGTCTCATATGTTGAAAAATGCTGTCGGTAAATTATTGTTTGGGCACATTATATATATTACCCGTTCTTTTTTCACGGACAAGAGATAAATAAATAAAAAAAATCTTAAATCGATATTAAATATTTCGCTGATTGTGTTGAACAGTAAACCTCAAATAAATATTATTTGGTAAATATTAAGGAACTTGATTTAAAACAAATTACATCTATCAGCCACAACGCATCTAAGCCGACGCGAAAAAATTAAAATGTTGGCACTTCAGTAACTCCAATTTCATAATTAAAGACAGCACGTTTTCTTCACTATTCTGCTGAAGGTTCCTAAAGATGAAACAGCTAATTACCTGACGTTAAAAGTCAGTTTGTCTCAATGAATTCACCTTAGTTAGTTAGTATATAGAACTTTAAATGGCTCACCTTCTGTTCTGTTTTTTGGGTGAAAGATAAAAATATGGCATTTTATTTATCGTAAAATCGTTACTGCTCGTTAATTTTGCTGCATTAATAATTGTTCCAGTTCATCAGCTGATCGTAGCAAGAACGCAGCCGACTCACGATAGCCGGCAATCAGCTGTTTAACGGCGTTGGCTTCACTTGGATTAAGAGAATAACGTGGTAAGGGAGGTTTCTTCACGCTCAGATCAGTTGGACCTGTTGGTAAAACAACGTAAAGTTGCAAAGAACTACATCATGAGGTTCTGTACAGGTTACTCAATCATTTGATCACTAAACTACAAAGCATTATTCATTGAAAATTAATTTAGAGTTTTTATTTAGAATTTTGTTGAATAACATTGTTATTTTTATGTAAGTCATTTACTCAAGGTACACAACGCTCCAATCCAAATGATTAGTAACCTTTACAGCCTAGTCTAAGCAACATTTGATAAGAAATTCTTGACGAACTTTTTTCTTCTTATACAAACAGCGTGTTTCTGTGCAAATTAAGTAGGAAATGTGACAAAAATTAAAGATTAATTATCTTTTTTTTTCTTTCAGGCAATGATATAAAAACCTCCCTAATTTGCCGTTAAAGTGGCGTCACTATTCAGATTGCTGATAATGATTGAGTTCTTACTATTTCAATTTGAACTAAAAGTTACAAAAGAAATTAATTAAAGATTTCCTTTTATTAATAAACATTTAGAGGTTGAAATTGGAATGCTACTAGCTTGGTATTAGTTATCTATCTGGTGCTTTTCTGTTAGTATTTGTTAGTCAAAGAAAACCTGATTTATTTCTTCTCCTCCAACATATTGCGTATTTTTAGTACAAAGAAAACAACAAAAACAAATTTATTTTAGACATCTTTCTGAATAATACATTAATGTAAATAATAATAATGCATTCTGTAGTTTTTCTTTTATGTAAAAGTATGCAATAAGCAAAATGTTAAATCCATACACGTTTATCAGCTTTTCTTTATTTACAACAATTACAAATAAGATTCTTACCATTTGTTAAAACACCACATGCAGTCGTCACTTGATGGTTATTGTTAGAATGTGACGATGATGTATCTGACACAGGAATGTGGAATTGCGACATTTCCCGATAGGTGGTGCTACTTGGCAACAAAGAGTTAGTGGACTGCTGTACTCCACATGTGCCATCGTTTATGATTTTTATTCGAGTTGACGCAATAGAAGATTGAGTTGTCTTCGAGGCTGGTGCGTTTCGATTGGCTAGCAACTGAGAATGCTGAATAGGCTTAGTAAGCTGAGCATGAAGCTGAGATTGGGATTCTAGAGGATGTACAAAGGAATTCCTGCTTATTAACCCACCAGCACCTCGAGACATTTCGCCCTCAACTCCATAATGTGAAGTCATACTAGTAGAATGAGGAAGGACACGAGATCTCTCGATTTCTGTCTGTGAACAAGAAAACAAACAAACAAAGAAAAACTTTTATCAGACCAAATAATTAACATCCAAACATGTATTGTGATATATTTCTCAAAATTAAAATAACTGTTTACAATAAAGATATAAAATGACACAAATAAGCATCAGTATTCCAGTACTCCTTTGATATCATATAGTTTGAGGAAAGTCACATGTTGTGAATTTTAGAACACACATGCTCCGGCATTGCACAAACCCTTCAAGCTAGTTCACTTCTGATAGGTTTGGTTTGGGCTAGTTTTCCTTGTGGTGTTAATGTTGTTGTTTCCTCAAAGAGAATCGGCATAAAGAATGGGTTATATACTTGTTTGTTTGTCACTAATCATAAAGCTGCACAATGGGATACCTTTGCTCTGCCCACCGCAGGTATCGAAACCCAATTTTGAGCGTTATAAGCTCTCAGACTTATCACTGAGCCACCAATGGATAGAATAGATATTTAGAAGTAATATTAATAATTAAGCTTAACTCTTAATAACAAGAGCCAGTGTTAAAAATAATAAAAGGAAATATAATTACGAACAAAGATACTGGTACTGACAATAAACATTAAAGCCCACCAGTGGCACAGCGACATGTCTACAGACTTATAACTAGAAACCGGGTTTCGATACCCATGGTGGGCAGAGTACAGATAGTCAATGTGTAGTTTTATGCTTAACTACAACCAACCAAACAAACAAACGAAACTAATATTAAATATTTATGTCAAAAATTAATATTAAGAACTAGTATTAGGTTCAAGTTTTCAGATCTGGTACATAAAGGGTGGAAAGCTTTGACCTCTAGCATGGCTTGGTGGTTAAGAAACTAAGTTCGTAATCTGCTGGTCATGGGATCGATACCGTCATCAAACATGCTCTATTCGTTGGTAAAATAGTAATGAAAGAGTTAACTAGCTGTCTTTCCCCTAGCTTATCACTTCAATATTAGGGACGGCTAGAGCAGATCGTCCTCATAGCGCGAAATTCAACAAACAAAGATACAAAATTGAAATCATGGGCTGAAGTTACAAACACCATAGAACATTGCAAGCACTTACTGTTTTTCCTATATATATAACCAGTCTGATCAAATCCAGTTTATGGTGTATGGCATGATATAAATGATAAGCTAGATCGAAAGATTTTGTATGAATTATACTCTCATATGTTTGGTGAACTCTTCCTGTTGGTATGAATAAAAACAATGTAAATGTGTAAATGTGTCACTAGAGGTTCATCTGTAATATGTGGGTTCAGCTTATCCATGTGCTCAACATGTAACTGTGCACTTCGAGGTTCACTGAAGCTGTTGAATAATAAGAGCAAGTCTATTCAGAGCTAACTGGCTGACATGCTTCTGCATCTACAGAAACCCTAACTTCTGTCTATGTACATATCTTGGCAGAAACCAAGCCATGCTTAACTTTAAAATAGTTGTGCTGGCTATCATACCTTTGGGTGAGACTCACTAGTTTAAGCAAGTGGGAGCTTCAGTTTTCACAGTCTGTCTTTGACCCTTTTCCCTAATGCTGGATGATTTGGTGATACAGAAGATGGCTTTCCTGTGTTGGCTCAGGGTATGGATACCACGTCTTTGGTCAATCAACAGACCATTGTTTACGGGTCCATATGATTTTCTGTCTGCAGCATCTGGCCATTTCAAGTGACATGCTTAGGGCAACCATGTCAACAAAATGAAAACGTTTTGACTGCACTAATTGCCTTGCTACTTTTTCAGCATAACACTCTATTGTTCTCTACTTGTTGTAGTTATCAACTCACACCACTCTGAGAGCGGCACAGCTTCTTTCAGAGCTGTAAAGTCCTTGATGCCCATGTGGTCTCTGGAACTTTCTTAGAAGATCTTTGAAAAACTCTTATATGAATTTGATGACGAGGAACCCACTTTGAGACTAATAATGCTTGGAGACGGCTTGAATGAGTAATGAAGAAAAACTTTAATATAATTTTAACATAACAGCAAATGTACAACGTACATATTTACAGCATATATCTACAGTCCACTGTTGCAGATGTAAGATGACCTTTCCATGTAGACATCACAGATCTCATGTGTATGAAGCAAACCTCTGTGGGCTGCTTCAGACTTTCAATTATTAAACATAGCCTAGAAAAGGCATCAGAACAGCTCTGTCCTTCACATATCCCAGCAAAAAAAACTGATTGTTATTCAAGTGGTGGGTTATTTAGGTTATGCATTAAATCCTGTGTTGCCTGTTTCTGCATTCAATTACATGCCAGAACTACTCATAGAAACAGTCAATTTATTTTCAGTAAAGCTACTAAGAATATCAGTTTATTTGCTTTATTCAATCACCTACTCCCTCAGATAATGAGAGCAGCCATAATATTTTGATTTATTTTATAGTTTATGGTTGTGGAGCCAATGCTACCAAAGACCTTGACAATTATTTTAACACACAATGACCCTGTTTTTGGCTGAATGCTGGACTTGTACTCAAGACGGTTGGAGTGAAAAATTCTTACAGCAAAAATGTCATTGCTAAGATTTGCTCAAACTTAGATTTTGACTAACTCCTACTGATTCAACTATTTTCGCCAGAGAGTGAGCTCCTGGCTGAGTCAGAAATTATATTTAATCGAGTTAGATAGTAGCTAATTCACTCTTAGCAGGTGTTTTATCTACATGAGACACCATTGTTCAATTTTTTGCCACTCGAATCTTTTTCTCAACACTGGCAACTTTTTACTGAAATAACATTTTAAAAACTCAGGAAGGCTAGATTTGCCGTCCTCTCAGTCAGAGGCCACATTGTGATATTCTGGAGGGCTTGGGTGATTATTGAAGCCCAGTTCATATCTAAGAGAGGGCCTCTCAACAACAATCTAAGATTGTTTAACCTTGGCTAAAATCCAGCAGCATTTCCTTCTCTAAACCATAAGTTCTTCTATGATGCAAAACCATCTCAGTTATAAGTGAAGGAAGAATACAAAACTAAAAAAAGATATAAAGATTCAGATGGAGATATAAAACCAACATATTTTACAATTTCATACAGACAAATTCCTAGTTATGGCACCAAAACGTTTGTTTGATTGTTTGTTTGTTTGAAATTATGCATAAAGCTGCACAATGGACTATCTGTGCTCTGCCCACCACGGGTATCGAAAATCGGTTTCTAGCATTGTAAGTTTGCAGACATACCGCTGTGCCAATGAGGGGGGGGGGGTGCACCAAAATGTAAACTGAATTTACTCTGTGATATTACCGAATGAGAAGTAAAAATGCAAAACCAAGTTGATTTGGAAAACAGGGTAAAAACTTTGGTTGATGGAAAGTATTAGGTAACTAGCATAACCAGCAAAAAAGCAGACGAGATTGGATGTTCCAAACATACACATGGGTATATAAACAAAATCACAACCAGGTGATAAAAATGAGTGAAATGGTTCTGGAATCAAATATTATAAAATACTAAAAGTTCAGAGTTAATATGACAGTAACAAAATTGAAGGGAACCTAAAGATAATTAAAATAAAGCTTACATTGAAGTAACATTAAAGAATTAATCACTAAGAAACCTATACAGGGTATAATGAATGAAGAAAGACCTCATAAGAAGCTACCCTCAAGTTGTTTGCCTTCTTTTATTACTCCAACTCCACTCACCTCCTAATTGATAACACCTTCGGCTAATCTAACATAGAAGTCAGCAAAACCTGGACACCCTTCTTGAGAACAAGCAAATAGTTAATTCAATTTCTAATGGATGAGACTCCAATCAAGTGGCTAATGCACCAAACTTTCATCAAGAAGGCTCAGAATCAAATCCCACAATGAACTTCAAAAAAGACAAAATTAATATAAGCGCTTTCGAATAGTTGATTATTCTTACTCAGGAGAATAGAGGGTGATGATTAGTGAGTACAATGTAATATATAGGTACATATGTCGACACAATGTAAACCTGATGTTCCAGATAAGTTGACCTTGAAGACTAACCAATCATAACTGGATGCATTTGTGTTAGGTTTAGTATCTACAAAGGAATTATATACATTACATGAAAGACGTGAGAGTGATAATAGTTAAAAAGATGTTGAAACAGTTTTCATAGAATAGAAAAATAATAAAAATAAAAAACAAAAGGGATGGGAATTAGAGAAAATGATAATGTAAAGCAATATATGGGAAATAATACCAATATAGAGAAATAGAAACATGAATAATACTACTAATAATAAAAAAAAATGTAGAGGCACACGAAGGTCAACAATCCCAGGATGGAGGTTGATGCTATTCAGCATTACAGTATCTAACAGTACTATCTCGTAAGCTTCTTTAATTTCTCTGTTTCTGTTTGATGTTAAACTTGTCTATATATCCGTCAGTTTATTATTCTCAAGAGAGTGATCAAGCATATTAAAGTATTTTGCAACTGGAAGTTCTTTATTCATTTTGATTGAGGATTTGTAGTTATTAAACCATTCACGTATAATTGTTCTGGCTTGAACTACATACTGGAAGCTACATTTTCAGCATTGGATTGAGTAAATAGCATAGCGTGTTTTGTAGAGCAGGTTATGGGTTTTGTGATTTTAAACTGTATTTATCAGAAAATTTGTCAGTCTTCTGCATGAACTTACAGGTTTGGCAATGCTTGCTATTGCAGGGGTGACCCAAACCAGAAAACACTTCTGATGTTGTTATTCTGTCCTCTAAAATATTAACTTAAATTCAACATAAACTTTTCAGTAAAGGTCACAATTTTTCTCCCACCTCAAAAAACATAAATTGCTTCGAAGTTATTTCTGACCTACACGAATTTGCATGCAGATTAAGACTTTGAGAATTTTCTCACAATAAAATCACTAAAGCAAACAATCTCAACTCACAAATTAAAGAAAAATCCTTCTGGTAATCCCCAGTCAAGAAAGAACCACACTCAGAGAGATTTATTACTGCAATTGAGAATGAAGCAATACTAATCATAGTAGTTA